TTAATACTAATAATATGTCCAGTATACGCGATACGTAGGTGCGCGTCAATCGACGAATCGAGTTTTTTTTATTATTGAATTAATAACAAAAATAAATTTTATAATTTACCTAATTGATATAGTTTTGTAGATGCAGGCTGTGTATAAATGCATTACTTTTAATCATTATGTTTAAAGAAATAAAACAATCATAAATGCATTGCGTTATGCGTGGTAACCAAAAATGTTATATTATTTCCGGTTTTAACAATAACATATTACCCCTGGTCTGTGAAATTAAAAAAAAATGAAATAAGTATTTATATACATGTTACACGAGCGTATTATACCATTTTAATTTTAAACTTTTGCATTTTGCTATCATATAAAATATAGTAAAAGTCTATCTATATGCACATAATATATCACAATACGATGATCATGTATTTTCGAAAGACAGTTTTCAATAGTATACTACACATTGTTTAGTTTAATGTATAGATAAATAGTATTAATGATAATCGCTTGGATAGGTGTACAATGTCGTTATTAATTCTTTGTTTTTTATTATTATTTATTACCATGATGTTAATAATCATAAATAATTTCTGAGCTCCCACATAAATCGCTTTGATGAAACACTGCAATATTCATTTAAGTAATATTTAGCTTAAATTATTTATGAACTTCACTCAATGACTGTGATCACGTGTGGTTTTATAAATTGTATCAAAGTCAATCGGTGTTTTTACAACGTAAATGTTGTAAGAATGAAAAAAAAAAACAATTCAACAATATATTCCGATATTAATTTAGTATCGTTTGACGAGTTAATTCAGAATTGAGTGCAAATATTTTTATGGTCAATGAGCTTTGTGTTTGTATCGACTGACGATTAAACATGAATGTTAATTCATTTAGATATGGGTATGTATACGTATATATACAAATATGTGTTAAAACTAACACATAAACACACACCCACTATTATAGCACTAGACACACAAATTATATACAATTGATGATGAGCATTTACCCATATCGAGGCCATGGTTTCACATTAATCCTACTTATCATCTCAGGAAACTGCACCTAATAGAAAGAAAGTGATTAATAATTCACCTACTACGATAACACGTTTACGATCAAACGAATCTTGTATTTTAAAGTAAAAAACGCGAGCCCATTAGATTTTTCTTTATAATTAATAATATACGGTCAAAAATTATTAGGTACCTATCGTAATCATTTAAATATACGAATAAATAAACATGGAGCACGCTTTATGATTTCGCGCACACAGAACATTATAATAATTTATTGAATTCGACAATCACGTTCGTGCGTGTTTGTGTACAAAATAACATTGCTTATAGTTTAAAATATTGAATTAATATTAATTTAGATAGTTATATTTTACAATATATCATTTAGTTTACTATATGTTTTGTTGTTTCGAATTTATATAGCTATATAGGTCAACGATTAAAATGTTTAACGTGTGTTAAAATAATTTATAGCAAATATGAAATCATTTTTCTTATATACAATTTAACAAATATACAGTCAAGAACATTTTAATTTCAATATTTAATTAAAATAGGCATTATTTGAGTACATGCATATTGCATTTATATACCTTATTCACAAAGTAATAAAATTGCTTTAATAGTGTGCATATCTAACGATTTGTGGTTATTGATCGAATACACATTGATATGTATAGGTACATCTATCATCTCACAGGTCACGATATCCACATAATTACATGCAAAATAAACTTTAACAGCAATGAGTGACTCACGCCTCAAAATAATTTAAGTGACTCTTTTAGGTCTTGTAGACACGGTGAGAAATTAATTTATTAATCATTTTAAATTAATAAGTTAGTTAATTAAATCATGTTTGATATACTAAGTACGTTGGGTCTGTCATTCACACATTTACAGTGTGTACATATATAGGTATCAAATATGATTAGCTTATAGTTTTCGCATATCACGTATAAAAGAAACAAACAGCCGATTGGCATTCCAAATAGATTGGTACCACACCTCATTATTATGTCATAAACGTACATAATAATATATCAGTAGAAATTCTATGCTTTTTATTTCATATTTTAGTTTTGGAATTCCCAACAAACAAGCAATATAGCTGTGTAAAGTAGTATATGATTCCCACGTCATACGATAGTCGTAGATAGTATTTTTTTTTATTTTTTTTACCATGAGTTTTTCTCTCTAGAAATTATTGAATGTTCAAATATTATTGTATACATTTCCTTATGTATACCGTATAAGTATTTAATTTTAGAGTGTGGATACACACCAACACATTGCAGTTTGGAAAGTTAAAAGTTTTTACAATCAACTAAATATTTAGGTATAACATAATAATAAAATAGTAAAATATGTATAGAAAACGATAAAAAAAATAGGTATTATTATATAAGAAATGTATATATTATAAAAAGATCAATAAAATTACATCTACTCGCATATGTGTATAATCGAATATATTCACATATTTTGTATGTTAACTCGTACTTGTAACAATATACTAATATACTAATAAACCTCGTGAATAATAATTTTTTTATTTTGTTCTGCATATTCATTACTTAATTTATGCGAAATAAAAACCTGTCACCTTTACCGTGAAATTTAATACTGCTGGCAAAATATTGTAGAGTATGGTTGTATGTCAACTACCATAACATTATGTTGTACAATATTGTACACATAACTTGGCTTTGATCCTAAAAAAAAAAAAAAAAATAGAAAAAATAACGTACTATGACGACTAGTTAGTTCTGCGACGACATCTTCCTATATTTTTCAGTTCGTCTCGTCTTCCGGTATAGTATTTCGCACAGCGCGTGGGCGTTAATCCCAGATCGACGGCGTGGCGACTAATTTACAGTAGAAAACCATACATCATCTACGTTTATGTGAAACGATGAGGATCCAAAAAACAAACGATTTTTGAGAATATACTTTATAACTTTTTCTTTTATCTTATACTTTCGTTCGCACGTTCTCATCAGAGCGTACATAATTATGTTTCATGAAAATTAAGAAGTTTAAACATTAGGAAAATTATTATTTTAACCTCTAATACATTTCCTTTATTATCTATATATTATTTACGATTATAAACGATGCTATAAATTTTGTAGGTAAACACAAAATATGTATTTTTATGCTAGACCAAAATCATTCCAAATCAACACTTATGATTTCCTATTGCGAAAATAAATATTTTACACATCATTTCGGCTCTAACTAAACGAACATTTTTAATTTTGTAAGTTTGGTTCAATACGTTAAGTACTTAAACTTATTCATAGAAGTTTATAGTTTACTCAATGAGTTGACGTATAAAAAGTTTAGCAATGTACCATACACATCATTTGCTGTTTAATTTCATTTAATTTTAATTCATCTTTTTAACCTGTTAAGAAACATTTTATTATACTATTTACGTACATTATCAACTTATTTTGTCGTATGCATGTATTATATTTATACAAAAAATGTATAGCTATACCTATAATGTATGTATACAATTTAATGCATACTCCGATAATTTTATTATGTTTTATCGTAAGATTTTTTTTTAATGCACGTGTGCAGTAGTCCGGTATTTGTACGGCTGTTTGAAAACTTATCAGGTTTAATCTAGCGAAAAAAAAAATAATGTAGGTATATTTCAATACTATAATCTTACTCATTTTTACCGGTAGAAGTTGATAAATATTCGCAATTTAGCATCATGTTATGTTTAAAGTATAATAATTACTTACGTCATGATTTAATTTCATAAAGAGTATATTAAAGTATTTAATTTTATATTTATTTTGTTTTGATGTTTTTAATGCATAAATAGTGTATATACCTACTGCCAATTTCAAATACGATATTATAATCATAATATTATTTATGCATAAAATATTAAATGATGATAGTAGACATTTAGATAAAGTCATAACATTAATAAAATTCGTACTATCAAAATCTACAAAGTTTACGTATGGAAATGTCATTATATCTATTTCGCATAATATTGTTAAATATTCGTATATTGTAGGTGGTAGAATAAGATTTTCGTTTTTTATCAATAAAAATAAAATAAACCGACAAATATCTCACAATATAAATTCATAAATATGGTAATTTTTTTATAGTTGTCGCGCTATATATTAACTATAGCATTAAAAATTTATTCAGTTGTTAATTACTATACGAAGCTTGAAGTATAAAATAATTTGTGATTTGTCCATAGATCACTAAGAAAGAAAACTTATTCATTTTTAAGTATTTATATATTTTTATTTTTGTTATAGAATTAATAGGGATAGCTGTTGAACAAAAAAAAAAACGTATTAATATGAATATTTAATTAAAATGACTGTTTAGTGCATAAACTTATTTTAACGAAGAAAAAATTGTTATTATAGATCGGTTTGTGTATAAAACTACATTCAAGAAAACTATACCGATCATGTGATGTTTCCATTTGGAAAAAAATCTTCCAGAGAATATGTTCTGATGTATAGTAAGACAGTAGGTGTTAACCTAATCTAACCACATCATGGCATCATTGAGTAGGTTACTGCAATAGACTTGTTAAATTTTAATTCAACTATAAATTATAGCTTACAAAAAATGATAATAAGCGGAGAAATAATGTTCGACTATAAATTTGTAAGAGTTTTTTATATCATATTTATATTACTTTTAGTAGAGCTATTGTATTTAATATTGGAATATAATAAATTAGATAAAAATAAAAATTGCTAGTCCTATTAGTAATACGGTATGTTAGGCAAAAACAAGTTGAAACAATATAAAATGCTAAAATTTAATTTATCTTAAATAATCCAAAAATAATATATGCCTACAAAATTTGATATATTTTAAAATAATGATCGATCACTGTAAAAATAATTAATTGTAACATAAAATATTATAATATAATTGATAAGTATTAATAAAATATTGGTTTCAATTTTTCAGGATCATACCAAGCATACCAGTCACCCTGCTATATAAATAGGATACTACCCGCATTCCTTTGTTATTATCACCACTATCTATAAACGCCGTACAGCGTTATTAAGCACTGTATTTGTTTACTATTTTCGCTATCATGTCTTACTCGGTTACCGGAAGCAGTGGTGGCGGTCCAGCTGCAGTCGCTGCGTTACAACCACATAGCTGTTCGATCCCGAATACGCCCGATGTGATAAACTCGATCATGTCCTTGATGGTGGACCCATTCCAAAATTTTTCCAGTACCGGGTCACACGCGTCAGAAGATTCATCCGGTTCTATGTGTTCCCCTGTATCAACGTGCTCTCCTGTGTCAACGTGCTCTCCCGTGTCAACGTGCTCTCCCGTATCAACGTGTTTCCCCGTGTCGACGTGTTCCCCGGTATCACCGACGTCCAAAACGCAGAATTTCTGCACTAGTCTTAAGATCAAGGAGGAACTCAAGATGGCCATCCAATCCAAACAGAAGAACGCAGTGATGGCGACAGTGACATCGATGTGCCCCGGCAGAAATCCGGTGGAGACCAGCGAACCGAACATTTCCGGTTCGTGTGGAATGATCATTGCGGCGACAGCATCGGCTGGTTTGGCAGCATCGTCACCGGGCGGTGGACATGCGAGAAAGAGGCGGATCGATGAGGTGTCACATGGCGACGACGACGGAGATGATGTATCATCGCATGGCGAAGGAGTAAGCGTTCAATTATCAATATAAATGATATGGTTATTGTCTTAGAACATCCCGATTCATTATAATAATACATATTTTAATAACACACCTACTGTTCAGAATGATTGTTATAAGACGAGGTGTAGCAATTGGCTCAGATAACACTTTTTGGCGCGCAAAATGTAATACTTAACTTAATGTCTAAATTAATAAATTATTGTAAAAAAAAATTTGTTGTTTATTACATTAATCGCATTCTACACGCACGAGTCAAAATTGTAAGCAGTATATTGCAGTATATTCATGCGCACGCGCGCGATATCGCGACCGGTCTTTATAGTATTTTTTTCCGTCCATCGACCTTTTTCTTCGGCACATATCGCGTTCTTATAGATATGATAACGCTGCCACGTCACTTTCGAATGTACGCCTACGATAAATACCCAAAGAATGCAATTGACGCGTGTGCTTGTGTGACGATGGATAATAATGATAATAATAGTAAATATAATTATGGTTTTCGTCTATGTTTAACATACAAGTCACATGCATCTGATGCAGTGACTATTATTTTGGGCCACAGTCTCAAAACCGTTTAATAATCCGTACAGTGTTACGGTATATGTTCGATTATAATGTTATAATATAAATATAGGTGCATCGTATTATACGTCACACAAACTTAAATTATAATCGCAACATTCAGATTCGATCCGTCACTATACGTACACTCGGTGAAAATAGCTATATTGTCAGGGACCGTCCTGTGTTGAAGTGTAGTATATTGATGTGGCCATGACCTCCTCTCTCTTCTCATTAAATATATTTCTATATACTCAAAAAATTAACCAATAATATGTGATATTTTTTATAATTAAAAACATTTGTGTGATATATAAATTAATGGCCCATCCTAGATGATCGCTTTGAATCCGTACTGAATATATACCTACGTATTATACACTAACATTATTATACATTGTTAATTATCATCAATAAAAAGTTTACGATAATTCTTTCTCGTGCTAATATAATGTATGTAATTTATCGGTATATAATAAATACAATAATATATTATGATTATGAACTATAACTATAATAGAAACTCTAAGATATGAACGGGCTCCTCGGGTGCACGCGTCGTGTAAACGTGTGATAAAGTTACGCGTGGCGTGCCATAAGTGTGTTTAGTCTGCGTTGTAAATATGATAACGATTTTTTTTTTATATGTGTATGTACAGCTCACGGCCGAAGATGAAGAACGGAGGAAGCGGCGGCGGGAACGCAACAAATTTGCGGCGACCAAGTGTCGGTTGAAAAAACGCGAAAAGACTACGAATCTGATGCAAGTGAGTACCTGTAGGTACCTATACACTTTGCGTACAATATTATTACAATAAGTACACGATGAATGCGTAAAAAATAATATTTTTGACGGGATATTTCTTATTACATTGACCCTGTTATTATTGTATCGTCTAATCTGCGTTGGGTCGTAAAGATCGTGGCTCGTCGCCAGGTCCATTGTTTCACAAGCAGCCAGCTGTAGTTGTAACTAGTAGTAGAAGTTATAGTAACAGCTGTACTGGTAGCCGTGTATTTATGTGTATGTGTATGTGTGTGTGTGTGTGCGTGTGTGTGTGCGTGTGTGAAAATTTATGTCGCCTTACGGTCACAAATCCTGGTGTGTATCGGTCGTGTATTTCGTATACGCGCTGTACGCCTACATGAATGTCGCCGAATCGCGAGAGAAAGAGAGAGATAGAGACCTGGTCGGAAATAGAATCTCTTCAGATTGCTGCAGTTGTATTACATTATATACAACACACATGGTATATATATATACAATATACATATACATATATAATATATGTATTGTTTTGTACACTCGTGATTATAATATGTCACGTGAAACTACGATCTCGATAAGGCTAGAGAAGGATCTTGTGTGAAAAGTCGCGTGTACAGTATTAAATATATATTATTATAGATGCACATAGCGAGTGTACCTCCTATACTTGCGATGTATACACATATTATCGATATTGTGTGTGCGTGGATAAGAAAGGGGCAACCAATGCATCGCCGGAAACCATCAGTTATATTATGTTCGAGGAGAAGACAAATCGACTGACTTTAAAACGAATAAACTATAGTATTATGATACATGTACTTACTTATAATAAAGTTTTTTTATCGTCTATATCAAATGATTATATTATGAACGTAGGCAATCTCTCTGACTCGTCTCATCGTTTTTATCTGTAGTCGACCGTTTATTATGTATTACACAATAACAACAACAATACGTAATAGATATATAATATGTTTGATATTTTGACTAAATATTATTAGGTACCTACCTATCATTATCATTATCGTCGTTGTCATAATACATGCATCGCACATGCACTGAAAACGTCAGGCATTCATCTTTATCTGTTCTGAAAACTGTTCGATTACTGTGTTCAAAAAAAAAAAAAACCTTGCACATCGTCAGGCATAGTATACACGCATATAAGAGTGTAGTCAGTTTGTGTACAAATATAGTATAATATAACAGCGCGGTGACGTGTGAAACACGACACTACACACGGAAGTGGGTTACAATTTAATCGTAGTCCGATTTTTACATATTTACGTGTTTAGGTACGTATACCTTAACTCGAACGTCGTCACGTCTGCAAACGTTCGATTTGTGTACTGAAGTATTCATTTTGTTTTTTTTTTTTTATTACATTATCCTTCGCCAAACTGTGACTGTAGATTATTAGCTATTGGCTTTTAATATCTTTTCTTTAGGATATTACTCCACACGGGTTCCAAAGAAATAATAAAATTTATTTAAATATTCTGTGAAGTACCTATAAAAGTAAACATACCTTCTATAATATTATACTCATAACTATTCCGAGAGTTTTGATACACACGTGGCGGTCACCTTACGCATGATGCATGAACCATTCGACAACGTACAATAAAAAACATACCTACTCCTTAGATAATGACGTTTTTCCCTGCAATCGCAATTTAAATATTTGTCGTCGGTTTATTTGAATTGTGATATTTTCATTTTCAAACGTTCGGTTAGAAAATTTATTTGCTGTAGAATAATATTTGGTTGTCGCGGTGCAGGCTTGCGTGAAACAAATTTTTTTCATTTAAAAAGTTCGTGGACGTCAGAATACCATGTGACTTATGTTATCTAACGACCTCATGGCTAGGAGATAATGTAATTTTTTTCTCAGAAAAACGTTCTCTTGATAAAACTGGTATATCGGAGTTCGTTAAACCTCTAATAAAATCACGCAAATTTACTAAACCTGTTTAGCCTAGTAATAACATTAGAATAAACATATTATTATTATGTAACGACTAACGTCCGATGAAAATAAATATTCAGTTACAAATTATTATAATTTGATAAACGACATTTTATTTTATCAACTTTTGATATATACTTTGATGGGTATGTACTCCGAATACACTATTTATAATATTTCATTTTCCTGCGATCGCATACTTTAATGTTAAAAATACATAAAACGTTTTGACTAAAATGAATGTTTATGTAATAAATTTATGGTGTTGCTATAACGTTTAAATATCTATATTAGTGAACTAAACATATTTCGTTTCAGGGCTAATATGATAAGAGAACTTAAAAAATGTTAGAAATACTTATTGAGTATTGACGTGTATTATTGTTCATTATTATCTATTACTTATTATTTTAATATAAAAAAAAATTTACTGGGCAATCGTTATTCATTCGTCAAATAGATTTCAGATTTTTTTAATAATTTTTAATCAACTAGCAAGAATTTTAGTACGTCAATACACAAAACATATTTACATATTTTTTTTCGAGTTTCACCTCCTTCAACTATGAGAAGTTCGTTTATATGACCCTGACTGAAAAGTGTAACAGCATATTTATCTATTAAACCGTCTAATAACTCTAATATGATATGTCTCGTGCTCCTATAAATGGCTGTAACAGACAAACAGTTTTCGATTGAGCAATTATATACCTGACGAAACTGAAAACAGCCTCCTGCGTTATAATATACGTACAACGAAAGCAATGTCGAATAAGAGTCGGTCACTTTTTTAGGATTGAAACAATACAGACAAGGTCAAGAATCGTTGTGCACGTCTCAAAATTCACTATATTCATTCCGACTGTACTCCCGTTGCAATACATGTGTAGCCTTCAAAATGTTGGATATAATTATCGTTTCAAATATTCTTTGAAATTCAACTAAGGATCTTCGGACGCACTAGTATAATACTATATTCTCAAATTAGTATTACTAGCGGATATGTGACTACGCGAATAATTGTGTTTAGAATGTTTGGATTGACTTGGATTGGGACACTTTCTTTGAGAAAACGCAGTTAGTTTTAAAATATATACTTCAAAACCCAATCATATACCGTCTGGTATAATGATATAATTCATATAATAGCCTGTAGACTGTATCATGAAAATTAAAATCGAGGGAATTTAAACACGTTTACAATGGAGTCATTAATAATAATATTAATATTTTACGGTTCGTGGTGTATAAATAGCAGTTATAACAAAATCTTAACATTGGAGATCGTTATAATATTACGTATATTATACTAAACACAAAAAAAATAAATAAATAATTAATACTAAAACTATGGTTGCTACACATTTTCCATAGGTCTATACAAAATATTAAAAATATATTCTTCTCATCATATTTATTTTTATTTCGTTAAATATTTTCTCAATACCTTATCTTAAAGTTTATCGTGATCTTTTGAACATAGTATAATATGTAATGTTACATAATATATATACCTGCTATAAAATAGGTTTTGCAATGTTCTACTCGCCTATACCAATACTTACCTATTATTAGATAGGAAATTTTGATTGAAGAATCAATAATTTGCTTACCAAATCACAATTCAAGGTATGAAATGTATACATATTGATCCGCGAATGGAACAGTAGTGAAAATAACCGATGTTTTAATAATATGGTGCATATTATTTTTTTTATAGTAATTTTGCAGTTTTAAGATAAAATTATTATCGGAAACTACGATTTTTCACAAAGTGTTTCCAAAGCTATATTACATGCAATTTTGGTATTTTAAAACCGTAGCACGTGTTTACATAATAAGTATAATTTGTCTATAACTCATCACGACTATTGTATACGTTCACAGGAATCGAACGTGTTGGAGACGAAAAACTACGACCTCAAATCACAGATCCAAGAGCTGGAGACGCAGCGAAACGAACTGATGAAGATGCTCTCGGCGCACCCTTGTGCGAAAAGGCTCTCCCACCAACATCAACAGCAACAACACCACCAGCATCAATCACAACACCAGCAACAGCTACAAGAGCAGTATACGGTGGAATCATATGCAAACGGCCCTTATCGTCATCACGGCCGCGTAGCCGTTGACCCACCGGTACTTAAAGACACCATGTTCAACGGCGGCAGTAGTTACGTCTCGGTTCCATCGGTGGCCAACCAACCTGCTGACGTGTATCACCGGCCGACCACTACGACGGCCGCGTCCATGGCCACTGGCCACTATCCGATTGTTGGCGTCGGGGGTGTTGGTAACGTTTACACGTCTTGCGTGGACGAATTGTTCGATTACAACAAAGAATTGATTTCCGGCGGAGGTGGAGGACCTCCCGACTTAAGTCATCAGTACTACGACCACGGTATATGTTGATATTATATGTGTATACCTACCGTTGATTTTTTTTTCACGCCCACCAACCAAAGTCCGATTTTTAAACATCGAAATATTATTATGTTAGTTTTTTACGGTTGATTTAATAAAATAAAAAAAACATGTATACATTACACGCGTATGCAATGAAACAAAGTCTTCGATATTATGTGATAGTGTTATAATACTTTAACGCTGCCACCACCTTCCCGAGCGTGTGATAGATTCGGACGAAACATTTTTACACCGATAATATATATTACTTTATTATTATTTTACTGTTATTAATATTCTTATTTTATTTTTATTATTATTGATTACGTGTAATAGTTACCTAGATAAAATATATATGTGATTACATGGAATTATAAAGTGCTAACATACGTATATTATATTATATGTGCGTAGGAGTAAATATACTATATTTTTATAATCATAATTATATATTATAAACAATTATTAACTATTGAAAATAAGTGGTGGTATTATTTATATTTTTGCGGACTTTGCACCTTTCCGTTTCGATATGATTTAAGTACACGCGTAATATTATTATATTAGGTATATTCTTATATATTCTTATTATATAATATTATAAATTCCAGCATCGATCACTATTATAAATTAATAGTAGTTGAATGCAACCAAAGAGTTAATAAATATATGATCGTTATATTTTGTATTATTGGGTATGATATTTTCTATTTCCTGTGTGGAAAATCCACCATTATTATTATTATTTTTTTAATACTTAAGACGTATATTTATATAACATTGTACTACAGAACTGTTTTGTATTATTTATTTATTTATTATTAATATAATTATTTACTATTATTTACAATTATTACTATTATTATTGTATAATTTTAATATTTTATTTATTTGTTATCACTCATGTTAATTACAATTTGTAATTTTTAACGTCGAAAACGTACGAGTTGTTATTTTCATAATAAGCAAAACATTACAGACAGACAACGCGCGCATGTGTATCATTATTACTTACTGAATGTGTAATGATGTAGAATTTAAGACAAATAGTTTTACTATCTCAAGACATAATAATACTAGTCGTTGACCGAATAGGTTAAAAATAAAACAGATACGTTGGCTGACCAAAATGTATTAAATATTTATAATAGGAGTACTTATCAGCCATACTAGCTGTATAGGTCTGTTTTCCTAAGTCAAAATAATTTCACTATTATAATACTTAATATAATCAAATTTATATAATTCCATCTTACAAAATTAAAAAACTAAAGTACCTTGTTTATGAATACATTAACAAACGAATAGTTCGAACTTCGAACTCGATAACTGTATGCCAAATTAAGTAATTGATGGTACTGGATTTTCCTTTATCAGAATCAGTTCAATATAAATAAGGAACAAATCGTTAAACATTTATTAAAATTAATTTTGTTTACTATAGTAAACGAAGATTAGTGAATCAGTTGGTAGGTACTTCTATTATGCACTTTTTTGAGCAAATTATCTTTATCTTTGGATTAAGCTAAGAAAACCAAATATATGTGTACCAATATTTGCTTGGTCTATAATACTTCATATACTGTTATTGATAATTTTTGGCTACAATAAATAAATAATAAATTCAAATTTTAATTGTAGCGTATACTAGGACTAGTAGCTTTTCAGAAGTTTAAAAATTGTATTTTTATGTTCTAATTTCATTGTTCTTAAAGGTATTCCCTTTTTTTAGTTTCTTTTTCATAAACTAACTCACGTATTACAACTATTCCATTAAGTAATAACTAATAAGTAATATCATTTTATAAATTCAAACTAATTATAAAATTAAGAAAAGACAACAATATTTTAAAAATAGATTAAATTAAATTGCATAAACGTACGCCGTCTAAAGTATAATAAGTACGATTATAAATTATAATACTACCAATCTATTTTAAGTATGCAAAAATAATTTAGTTATATAATTATTAACCAACGATTATTCTAATAAATAATAACTAATATCTACCTTAAATCAAAAATCACTTATAACATTCATCTTACATTCTATTACCATGTATTTTATTTTATTGTTATTACGTTTGATGATGACATGACCAGGATAGTTATTCCTCACATCTGTACCTCCACAGTTGAACTTTATTCAAGAATTTATATCAAGTAATAATCTTTTATCACTGATAATGAGTTAAAATAAATTTAAAATATAATGATAATATATGTATATTGTATAGAAGTGAAATATATATATATATATTATATAGTTCCCTAATTCTAATGGTGAATATAGATTAAATAAAACTTATTCAAAACTTATTCCTTCGCTAACGCTTGAATTTTGCATCAAATGTGGTTTTCACAAAAAAAAAAAAACGGTTTTTCGAGACCTTTTGTAGTAAATTATTCGAAAATCAAATAAATAATTATATTAAAAAGTAGAGCGACATCCCACTAAATATTTTAGCTTGTTTCAAACAAAATTTACAAACATCTTACACTTTAAAAAAAGAGGAATTATTAGATTTTTAACAAAAAAAAAAAATTAACAGGTGACTGTAGGCTGAAAAAGGAAAGAGAATTGTATATCTTTAATATTTTTATGCTCATTATTTTCTGGCATCTCATCTAATGCAGAAGCATCATTTGGAGGGGGGGATCAGGAAGTCCAGTTGCACCCTTTACTTTTAAAACAGTATTAATTAACCTTCGCCATGCCGAGATAATGTTCAAAATTAAATCTTTTTGATGGTGTTTTTATTTTTATTTTTATATTTATCAATATTGGTATGCTTTCAATTACGAATTTTATGATTTTTAATTATTTATTATACTTTACGTAGTTTTTAAATTGATTTTTTTTATTTATATTGATGTAATAATTCAGTATATGCGATGTATGGAAATAATTGAAAGTAGGATTATGTATATAAACATATATCTATTTTTAAATAACCTGGTAAAATTTCAAAATGGCCTGCTTAAAACCTCGCATACCCTAAAAAATCTGAAATGATATCTCTGCCCCTGGGAAAATTTCAGTTTGTATTACTGATAAAGTATCTGCTAATCAAACTTAAGTGCATTCATTGTGCATGTAAAAATTATAAAAATTATATTGTTGCTGTAATTAACATTTACCAGAAATTAAGTCACACAGAAAATGTAGATCTTGAGGATTTTTAATTTTTATGTACATTCACATATTATTATACCTTATAATATACTTAATTTCATTGAATATCTATTGTGACCTTTACTGACCAGTGACCAATTACATTTAACTAAACAACAACTTGCCAAAAGTGCATAGTTCTACCAGATGTTATATTTCAATAATAAAGACGATAAATGATGAAATATATTCATCACATTGGTTGAAATTTCAACATACCAATAATTCAACTATATCTGATCTATTTATAATAATTATACGATTCTTGTTTATAGCTGGAGGAATGTAAAAGTAAACTTTTTAATTTCCAAGATATATTAAAACTGTTTAAACCATAATTTTTATTTGAATATTATAAATTATTTTTACTCGACACTTTAATATCACTATTTTTACATTCATTAAACGGGTTTATAATAAACAAACTGTTGTTAAAATAAAATTAATAATAGCAGTATATTTTAAATTTGAATAAAAATATTTACTTTTAATTATGATAAATCAGTTATTCGATTTATTAAACTATAATTTATCACTTTTTTTTGGTTGTTATTTATTGTAATAAAATACAATTTATCCGGGTAAAATGTTTAAATGTTTACTATTACATTTACAAGTGTACATATATTGAATAAAATATTGTTAATCAATCTCAATTTTTTTTTTAAACATTCTTTTGTAATTTCTATTATATATAAATATTATTTTTAGGTACATTTACCACACTATATAATGTATATTATATACAATCAGTTAATGATAAATACTTGTTTGTGATTAAATAATAACACGTAAAAAATTCTAATTAATAGTAATAATAATAAATTATATTGATCGAATTTGTCTAATAATCCATTATGCTATAACAAGAATATATTCAATTTTCATAATTACTTTAAAAAAAAACAAGTTTCTAAATAGATCATACCAACTATAATGTTTAAAATAATTTTAAACAGTACATCAATTTTATTATTGCATAAATTTAAGTATTAAAATATAAGATGTAAATTATTGAAATCATACATGTTGAAACTATATACTAAAAAACAGTACATTTTCAATGAAGTAATCAAACGTAATATGCATTGACATAATATCATTTTTAATTTGTATAAGATTCAATGAACTACAATTTATTTTAAAATAATATCAAATCATGAAGTTTTTTTTAAGTTTATGAAGGTGTTTAAAATGTATAATAATTTAATTATAGATAATTAAAAAAACGCTGTATTATAGATATAATGCTAATATAATATTTCAAATGTATAATTATTATTAGTAAAATCGATTATGAATTTTTGACTATTTGTCCTACTAAAAATCAATAGTATAATATTCTTTTAGTGTATGATACATATAAATAAGAGTTGACAAAAGGAGTTTTAAGTAAACAAATAATAACTGTAAATTATTTTATACATAGAATCTCCTTAAGTTATATAATAACAAATCACATACAAATAAAATAATGTCTATTGACGGCGCATGAATATGCAACTTAACATCTCATGTATTGTGTACTCCGTTTCGAATGTTAATTAAAACTTGCTTCTATTTTTGTTATAATAGGATCAATAATTTTAAATTAACTCGAAACATTGAAATCTGTCTGATGATCAATTTAGAAATGCAGGATAATAACTTTATAATTATTAAATATAACGAACATATATGTATTTGTTTTATTAAATAATTACAACTGAACACAAATTCATACGTTAAATCACTGTTTTAATTAAATATATTAAAAATTAATTTTACATTTTTAAGGTATTATTGTACATAAGTATTATAAATTTATTATTCGTTTTGATTTACTAAATGTTCATTGAAAATTAAGCGTCATTGTAAAATGCCATTTATAGGTATTAAGTTTAAGAAAAAAAAATTAATTTATACTCTTATGTGTAAAACAATATTGCTTAAAATATAAATTGCATTGATACATATATTCTGTGATTAACAAGATTTAAGTAAATTAAAAATAAATTGAGGGCATATTTCTCACGATTATTAATGTTTAAATTACATCATGTGTGAAACTCATATATATACATTATATTTTTGTACTTGTAAAAGAAGTATTAATGAGGATTTGACGTTTGGCAGACAAATGCATTTTTGGCATTGACTTTTTTAGGTTAATGTATAGTTTTGGTCTAGTTACAATAAATTCCACAGCATAAAATGGTGAGGTGAGGAGTAGATGTATGTTATATAGATGTATATTATACATTAAATATAAAATACTTTG